TTCCTCAGAATTCCCCCGCCTGCCGCCATAGAATTAGATTTCAATGCCCCGTTCATGTTGAGTTTATACCAACCTGTATCAGGTTTAACACACTTGACTGCCATAGGTTTGTTGCACTTGCTACTCCCAGTTTGTTTGATCCTTCCTGCACTATGGAGTGTATTAATCAGGACATAGATTTGCTTGATAATCTTATCAACCTTCATTGGATGGTGTTTGTGTTTAGCATTATTTCTGGCCATCCATAGGAACCAGATGGTAATCAGCGGAATAATTGATCTGATCTCCCTTGGTTTAGCCTTCTTCTGCAAAAACCAATGCATTAGCATGACTCTTGGTTGATCATACTTAATATCTTGAACATCCATAGCCCTACAAAAATGAGACCAGACCTCCTTAGCAATTTGTTCATCCAAGAACACATGATTGATACTTTCAGAGTTACAGCAACTTTGACATTTGGAGGCTAACTGGATGCCAAATTTATTCTGGATGATTTCCTCAAGTGGTAACCAATTATGCCAAAGTCTCCATCCTAAAAATGAAATTTTTTGAGGAATACTCTTATTCCAAATATGTTTATACGCCATTTGCCTGGTCTTACTTTGCCTGAAGAGATTAATACAAATACGGCAATAAATAATGTAATTCTTGAAAGATATGAAAGTGAAGTTTCCATCAAATTGACGCTACTACCACTACTATGCTATATGTTAGATTTTTTAAAAGAAATAACTAAGATAAAGTGCCTAATTGGTGAAAATTGTGGGATGTGGGGGGTTCGGTTCACAATCCACGTGACAATTAAAAAGTCTTTGATGGGGCTCTCGACTTCCTTTATTAAAATACTATTTTTAATTTATTTTAATTATTTCGAATTTATTAAATCGGTCAAACTAATCAATATAATATGACTGTTTTTAAACAACTCGTTATCAACAACTCATTAAAATTGTAAATATTTCTGAATAATGGTGGAGGCAGTTATATCTATTCTAGCTATATAAACACATATTTGATTTTTGGAAAAATTATATAAAAAACGAAATGATCATTTTTATATTCAGTAATTTTTCATACTCAAGTTTTTATATTTATATATATATATTTTGGAGTATGATCGCTAATTTGATCGTTGTATCTTGATAGTAATTGTCCACCTAGGACGCAACAGTTAATGTCGGATAATTTTACTTTAGTGTATCATACTGTCACGAGACTCGATAAATCAATAAGTTCTACTTTCTGCATTTTACAATTGTACAATTTACTGCAACTAATTATTTTCTAACACTGTATGGAGATGCAAAAGATGTTTGCAAATCTACTTTTTCTGGTTGAAAAAGTTGGATTGCATGTGAGGTATCATGTCAAATCTTGCAATATATTGACTTATGAGAATCCTAATGGGGTCTTTCGTATGCCACTAAGAGTTTAATATCAATTTTTTCCTGTCCTTTGGTTTGTATATGTGACAGGCAGCATGTTTTGATGTACATTAAATTTGACAGTTTGTTGTATGGCAAAATTTCATTCACCAATTTAAAAGAAAAAATAATTTTCCGCCACAATGTTTTGAAAACAAATGAAATGTAAACCAAAGAATGTACAAATAGCAAATTTCATGTGACAATGTTTCTTGAAATGCCCTCCCTCTCTCTCTCTCTCTCTCTCTTGTTGGACACAAAACAGACATATTTTACAGCTATCAAAATCCTCATATCTTCTGTTTCTTTACAATTATTATGGTTAATGTTACATTAATTTGGATAATTATTAGAGTGATAAGGTATTTCGTTATTTTTGATGGAAAAAAATGAAATGGAGAAGAACAAGTATTTATATTAAAAAGCAAGATCTCATCTTGCTAACTATAACTCGCCGCAAAATAATAATTAGATACAACCAATGAATTTTATAATGTGTCTCTTCGATGATGCTGATTGAGTTCATATTGAATTATTTCATCGAAAAATTTAAACTAATAGAAAAGGTAACATGTAGCACTTATCGTCTCTTTTCACACCCCTCATGTGTTGACCAAATTCAAATTTTGGCATTTATGCGTAAAACTTTTAATCAATCGATGATTGTGAGATTTAAATTTAATTATTTTATTTGATCTCATGTTGAACCATCTTATTTGAAAGTTTAAGAGTAATGTTTGCTAAATTTTGAAAGAATGAAACTTCCCTTTGCTCTTCTTCTCTTGCCGACTTCTAAATTTCTTTGTGCATGTTTTCTCTTTTGACTATTCTAAATATAAACTTTATCTCTAATTCAATTATTTAGTAGACAACATCATTATAAAGTCACTTTTCTACAAAGACTTTTTGCTCTTCTTCTTCCTTTGTGTGGGGGATCCCAAAAGTAAAGTATATACCATGATATTTGCCACATAAATTGACACATGAACTAGGAGATTATAAAAATAATAAAAATAATAATTTAATCCAAACCCCAACTTGCTAATTTTGGAAAGCAAAAGGGTTATAATTTTTTCTTCAATCTAAAGAAACAAGTACCTATTACTATCATTGCAATTGAGGCACCCCTCTTTCTTTTTCTGTTAATCTCTTCATGTATATAATTGTGATAATGGAATGATCAAGCACGATGGGATATATAACATTTTCTCGACCGATAAGATGAAATGTACAATATTATACAAAACTAAAAATATAAAGTAATTCAAATCTTGTTTATTATATTATTCGCTCATATTTAGTATTACACCAAACATGCACATAATGTGCATATAAGATTCGAAATGATGACCCGTTGTAAGTAAATTGATGCTTCAACCATTGGACATATAAAAACTCGTGTAAATTTCATGCCTTGAATCATTGGAAAACAAAACTTCGTACATTTTTTAACCGTTGGATGTATATCTTATTTTGCACCAACGTCGTTTTTTCATTTCGCAAGCTGAGTGATTTGAGTGAAACAAAAGTATGAGCAATTTCATAAAACAAAACAAAGCTAATCAATCCGCTTGAAATAGGAACATAAATTGACTTTTTACGCATATGCTACCTAGTTGAAGTAGCTGCTGCTTATCAAGTGAAAGTACATAAATGTTACCAACAGTAAGTTGTTCAATATGATACAAATTTAGAGAGAGATTCAATAGAAGAAATATGCTTAAATGCTCAAGTGTACATTGATAATATAACAATTATTTTAACTACATAACAAATCCACTAGCAATTGCCTTAAGACTTGTGGTTCCATACACTGGCAATTCTTGTTCATATGCTCCAATTCCAACCCTGACAGTGTGATCAAGCTCAAATAGATCAGAACTAGTACAACTCTTATTATCCAAATCACTCTCATTCTCATAAAATTGTTCTCTGAATCCATGTTTACTCAAATTCTTCACCTCTTGAAGTCTCAAACTCTCAATGTTCTTCTTGATGAATTGGCTGCCAACATTTGGAATTGGTGCAGCACTTGAATAATCATAATCATATATACTTTTCCGTCCACGTGCTCGTGTTGAACTTAAACCTGTGCTCGAGAGATAACTGTTCGTAACGTGTGGAGAATCTTCGTCTACAACCTCACTAACAGGACCAAATCTAACAGACCTCTTGGATTTATTACCTCTTGATGAAGATGGTGTTTGCCTTAAGCAAGATCTTGAAGCCAGTGAACATGTTGTTGTGTCTTTCACTGATCTGGACTTCCTCACTGAACTCCATTCCTCCATAACCTGATTTTTCTTCAACTTTCTTGGGCTGAAAATGGAGTTTAAAAAGTTTGTAAGTTTACGGCCTGGTGAAATGGGCTCTTTCACCTTCTTCAAGTCTCCGTAAATCTTCAATGCTCGTAATTTGGTTTTCGCGAATCTATCTTGTCGATTTGTTGTATTCTCATACTGTAAAATCTTACCAGGTTTCTCTATGACAGGTACTTGATCTTGTTTTTGTTTCAGTTTCTGGTCAATGGAAACAACTGATGATTTTGGTGTGGATTTGGAAGATGAAGAAAAGATGCTCGAATCCGTCGATGAGCCAGAATTCGATGCGAAATGCCTTGGAGTTGGAGCGCTGCTACTGCTGCTGTAATTCTCCATCCATTTTTCGATCATGATTGCTCGTCGAAAACTTTCAATTTCATTTTCAGCTTGTGTAGCATTGTTTTTCCTGTGGAGATCAAAATCTTTGATTTTTTGTTGTTCTTTTCCACCTTTAGATTCGTCGATGGACTGATAAATGGAGTCGAGAAGCGAGGACGAGAATGACGGCTTTTTACGGCGAGGCTGATGCATCTGCCTCTCCCTGGTAGCCATGTAGTTGTATTGCTTAATGTTATAAAGAGAGGAGAAATTTTCTTGACATTGAGTTAAAGAAAGAGCAATAAGCACAAACAGTGTATTTGTTGGTATATTAGAATAAAGTGGCTGATTTAAAGATTAGAAGTGAAAAAGCCATATGCCACGGCTTTAATCTTGGTTGGGGCCTGGGGGTAAAATATGATGAGAGAGAGAGAGAGAAGCTTAGGCCGTGTTTGGTAGAGAAGTATAAGTGAAAGTCAAAGATTAATTTTAACCATATATTTCATAACATTTACAACTTTTTAATAACATATTTCATCACCATTTATTAAAATCTACTAAAATTTTCAATTTAAGCTCCGTCGGAGCTTTAAAAAGAGCTTATATATTCATATATTAGGGCTTACAACACGTGGGAATGATTTTGGTAGATAAATGCTCGAGAGCATTCATATATTGTGGCATAGCTCAGATCTTGACAAAATTGTTCGAAATATAGGCCCCATTTGGTTTCGCTTAAAGAGTGAATTAAAATCTAAGTCAAGTCAACAATTAATTTTAACGACGCGTTTCATAATAGGGACATAATAAAGATTATAGTGAGTCAAGTGTATTTTTTACAACGAAAGAGTGCATAAACATGACGCATACGAGAAAGCACTGCTTGCTCGAGCAAAGAGGCAAGCAAGGATTTGCCTTGTGCTTTGCCTCTTCTCACTCGAGCGAGCAGGATTTTTGGACGAAATCTAGAATTTAAATTTTTGGTACAAAGTAACTTTTTATAATATTTGCGTAATTTCGTGCACATATAGCCAAATATCTACATAAAGATGTCTTTTGGAGGACTTTGGTGGATACAACTTTTTCTTCCTCCTTGACACCCTAAAAATTCAGAAATTAAAAAGTGTTTCTTGTTTGCAAACTCGTGCTATTTGTAGCCAAACATCTACATAAAGATTTTTTTTTTAAGGATTATGGTTAGATGCAACATTCATATATAATGGTCTGCCTCCTCGTACCCTAAAAATTCAGAAATTACCAAGTGTTTCTTGTTTGCGAACTCACGCTTCTCATATCCTTAAAGTCATTTACCGGCGAAGTCCATCGAAAGCAAATATCGTTTTAAGATAGGAAAATCTTAAATTGAGTTTCGCAATTCAAGTGAAATGAGAAACAGAACAAGATCATATGTACAATTGTTATATTATTTCTAACATTCGACTTCAGTTCATAGTTTAAAAGCCAAAACTAGAAAAATTATCTTTAAAATGTGGGGAAATGATATAATTTGTTTTATTTACTATAGCAAATAGAAATATATATGTACAGCAAACTAAATGCATGTAATAAAATTAGGGAACCGCTGTTTACATCCACTATTATGTTATATATATATATCCACTTTTAAAAATAAAATGATATTAAACCTTATATAAATTTACTTAAATGGACATATATAAAATTAAATAAAAATATATCATTCTAAATTCATTTACTAATATTTATTTTCATTAAATTCTTTCGGACCTTTTATGATTAAAAATCAGGATTAGGGAAATCTTGAATCTCAATAAACCCAATGGCAACCTAATAATTTACAACAATCATATGTTGTACCCCACTAATCAATACTCGAAATTCAATAAAATTTTATAGAGTCTCGAAAACCCGACGTCATGGAACAAATTCGTAATGAGGGAGAGTAATCGTCGTAGGTATGTCTATTCAATTGTATGAATGCTCACTCACATTTTCGAGTGCGTCATTTTTTTCTCTCTCGTGAACCTTCCATCTACTTAGGTTTCAATGGTATATTTCTTATGACAAATAATTTCAATAATAAAGGCACTTTAGATTAAACAAACATTAAAGCCGATTTGGAATTTCACAATCATTCAGAAAGAAATATTATCCCTCAACCGAAGCCAGCTACTTTTTGACTAATTTTGTTACATAAGATCATGCGGAAATCTATCTATCTAATGATGGAAATAAATTGGAGGGGGATGAACTATTATATTGTGATTTGAACGTCCGATTCATGGAGGAAACCTAGATAATTTTGGTTTGAAAGTCCGAATAGATAAGAGATCAAATTTTATCATGGATTGAGAGTTTGATTGAGAAAATGACTTTGGATCAATAAAAAAGTGCTTTGAAAACACAAGGACAGAGTCGGGGCACCGGAGTGCAAGGGAGGCAGCGGCATGGGCGCCGCAGCACCCAAGGCATGTTTGGCCTGGCAGACAGCCAACGCCCTAGTGCCGGCTGCAGAGCGCTAGGTGGGTGACACCACAAAGCCACCAGTACGGGAATAATTTTATTCCCATTTGGTTTTTTATGAGATTTTTGCGCTCTACTTCATCTAGAACTTCAAGATTTAGCTCTTACAAATGCTTCACGAGGTGTCTGACTCTTAAAAATAAGGCTCCACTAAAAATAAGATCATTGTTATAAACATTGAATATTTGAGAGAATTGTTTAGATTTAGATTAAGAGTATTAAATCTTGTAAAACAATTTTAATTTCTTGATATATTGAAATTCTCCTTATCTTTCCACATAAATCTTGTATTTTTGTGTGATCCATTATTTTTTATATTGCTCATATTTTCTCGTCTTTACTATTGGCCAGATTTTCAACAATTGGTATCAAAGCCAAGTTTTTTCGACAGTTCTTAGGACTCCAAATTGGTTATTAAGGCAAGGTTTGAACAATGTCAATTGTTTCAGGGATGACAACTGTGAAATTTGAGATTTCGCTTTAGATTGCCAACAGTAGATTTTCTTTGTGGCAGATTAAGATGCAAGCAGTTCTTGCTCAATTGGACTTAGACGATGTTTTGTTGGGGGTGGATAAAATGCTCGCAATAATGACTACAGAGAAGAAGCAACACAAGGATCAAAAAGCCCTATCACCGATAAATCTTCATCTTTCTAATCAAATTCTTCGGGACATGGTAAAGGATAAAAGTATCGCAAGATTGTGGTTGAAATTGAAGCAATTTTGTATGACAAAAAGTTTGACAGTTACACTTGATAAAGTCTCTTGGTATTGCAAAAACAAGGGGCACATGAAGAAGAGTTGCTATAAATGGTGGAATATGAATAAGTTTGTTACTACCTATTAGAACGAACAACGATGAAATTTTGGCGATGCCAATCTTGCATGAGAAGACTGCATTGATGGAGATCTTTTGGCGATTTCTGATAGTGACTCCAAACCTGACGAGAATTGGATTTTTTATACGGCTTCTATTCTAACCGAGATTGATTTTCTTCATATGAAACAGTTACAAGAGGTTTCGTGGTGATGGAAAATAATGAGCCTTGTAAAATAGCCGGTATTGGTAAGGTCAAATCAAGATGTATGATGGGACGATCGGGACACTTGGTTTAGTGAGGCGTGTTTTAGGTTTAAACGAAAATTTTATCTCTTTGAATACTCTTGATTCAAAAGGGATAGGTATACCGATTGAGGTAAAGTTCTATGATAAGTGTATTTTCTACACTTATTCGGGGCTTGAAACTATAGAATTTTATCGATCTTTTGGCAAAATATAACTTAAATTGTGTCACATTGCATCTTGTAGGTAAAGTTTGATATTTGATGAATAATTGGAGAAAAGAAGTAAAATGTAGCGAAAAATACCCAAATCTAAAATTTGAGGAAAAAGAAGCAAAATATAGCGAAAAAATGACAAAATTCAAAGTTTGAGGATTAAATTGCAAATTCTCAACAGTTGATTCGGACATCAAGAAGATACTTTGAAAATTGTTATGAGACATTTGGATGGAATTAGAATACAAAAAGGAATGGAATATGATCAAAATATTATCAAAATCAATTTCCAATCGTACAAGATATATTCCAGATTTTTAGTCAAAATTGAGATCGCTGTTTGGCATAGTAAACGTCCGAATTGGAAAAATTTTACTAGAAAAGTTGTATCCCTTTGAGTTATCTTTCCAACGCACTTTGAATCGTCTCAATCGGATATCAGGAGAGCAAGTTGTGACTAAAATACGAACTGTTATGTAGAGACAAAAAATTCGCGCTCGAAGACAACTTTCCTTATTCGATTAGAAATCTTTTGGAAACTAATTTGGACGTGATTTTTAACAAATTTTCGACTCTTACGAATAGAGAACAGCAGAATACATATGGAGAACCTCCCTAGACCTAAAAATCTCTATATTATACATATTTTGGAGGCGAAAAACATGGCTAACAACGTCAAATCAAGACGAATTGCATAGGATATTGAAAATTCTTTATCCGGATTCAAGATTCACATCAAGAACGTGGATTTTTCCTACTTCCATCTTTCTTATTTCCGGGTGATGTTTTTCCAATTATTCTTTTGTAATTTAATTATAAGAATGTTAGGCTAGTTTTTCATTGTATTGGATGAATGATGAACCATATTACTTATTTGTTTTAATTCGAGACAATTAATTTAGTACTTCTTGATTTTTCTTGATTGGTTTTGCATTTCCATTGAACTATTTGATTGCTTGATCACTAATTAGATAGTAAGTTGCTTGTTGTAGTGTAAGAATACTCACAATAAGTCTAGAACGCGACAAAATCAACACATAGACAATAGGTATTAGGAATAATATCTATGTCATGTACAATCATGTGTGATAAATCATGTGAATCAATGCATGTTTTTCATATGAATTCGAACCAGGAATATGATCAAGTCCTTTTAAACATAGGTTTAATATATCTTGGAAAAGAATATTGAATAACTGTGGATTATCGATTGTCTTGAATTCCTGAATTTACTAGATTACGAATTAAGAATTGAATTAAGTGGCAATAGGGAGACTCACGATTCCAATAAAAACATTTACATAATAAAAAAATACTTCATTTGTTTTGTTAGTTTATGATTAATATAGATTACATACAAATAATCTCTTTTTGAAATTGCCACACTTCGAATTTAATAGTAGCTATTGAACTACAAATTAGACTTTATTCCT